AAAAAACTGGAATAAGAGACTAAAACATACCTTAAGTTATGAGGTAAAAGAAAACTATTTGAAATCCCAATGCAGATGGTATTTAACACCAGAGAAAATATCAAAAATTTACCAGAAAAAGGATGGCCTCTGTTGGACATGTACAAAAGTTACAGGTAACTATCTACATATGTGGTGGGAATGCGAAAGGGCACAAAACTTTTGGTCTTTAATACATGGAGAAATGGGGAAAATTTTAAATATTGCTATAATTAAACAACCGACAACCTTTTTATTAGGAATAATTGATGATAATTTGGAACGAAGATTTGGAAAGATTATGTTTCATATGTTTTATGCTGCAAGAAATCTACTGGCAAAAAATGGAAAAACAAAGATCACCCCACTTTGAGAGAATGGCAACATAAGTTATATGACATAATGGAAGTAGACAAATTAACATGTTTTTTGAAAGGTCATTCCAGAAATAAATTTGAGAGAGATTGGGCACCAGTCACAAATTATCTGAGTACAATATGGGGTCGAAATGGTGTGATTGCCCTGAGAAACTGATGACTAATAATAAACAATGGCGGTCAGTCTAAAGTGTAATATAATTTTATACAATGAACATTAGTTCTGGTCTGCTATAAAGGTACACAATAACTTATGTATCAAGATGAATACTGAACTGTTAAAATGTAATATTCAGTGTGTTATGTAACAAATTATATTTATAAGCGAGCTTTAAATAGGAGAAAAAGGGAATATCTGAAAGTTCAAGTAATAATAGTGCCGAATATTTCAAATAAAGGAGGGAAGTTATTTTATGTGAGTTAGTTAGATGTGTATTGTTAGTTAGATGTGTATTGTTTATGTAATTGTTATGTTGTTTTGTTTGTGCAGCTTGTGTAATGTATATGTGTATGTTGTTTTATAAAATAAAAATCTATTATATATAAAAAAAATTGGCACACACCCTGCTTTCTTTTCACAGACTAGCAAAGACTTTCCTATTCTGACAGACAGGCATTTAATGAGTGATTGTATAAGACTCATTTTACACAATACTAGATATTGCTCACTGTTGTGCTCATGTGTGGCTGTGTTTTAATTATGTTTGTTTTAACCTGGTTTTCCTTTTTTTGTTTAATTGTGTTTTAATGTTGGTATCTTGTGGATTTTTAACAGTTGTTTTTGGTGTTTTCATTTCATTTCATTTCATTTTTGTAACCCGCTTTGAGTGCTAAATTGGGGAAAAGGCTGGATAGAAATAAATAATGATGATAATGATAAAGATGATGATGAAGCTGATGATCAAATTTTTAGAAGAGATGTATTGTCCAGGTGATGGTGTTTGTCACATTTTCTGAGGTGAGGGGACCTTAGCAACCTGTTACACAAGACAGAGATGAAACAGAAAGGCAGAATAAAGCAGTTTCCAACCACTTGAAGGTAGAGCATTTAGACAACACATGACTCAAAAGCAGCTGGAAACCAAAGCAAAGCTGTGCTCCAGAGCTAAAAAATGGAGCAAAAGGAAGCTAGGATATTCTGGCTTAGCCTGAAAATTCTGTATCTTCATGCCTGCATATAAATGCCCTAACATGAGTGCAGGTTGCAACAAAGCAAATAAATAAATAAATAAAATGAAACTGCAACAATTCCAATGGATGTAATTACAATGTACAAAAATCAGACAGTCCAACAGCGGGGCATGGTGTGAAGGAGGGTGAAGGGGGCATGTATTGTGCTTCGCCAATATTTCACTGGGTGCACTGATCAAAGGGGTCGCCATCTAATGGAATGGCATCTGGGCAGGATGTGGGAAGTAACTGGAGGTTGCAGGTGGTGTGTTTGTGTGGCAGTGTGCATGCATGGTGGGGAGGCAAGAAAGAAATTGCCCAGCAGCACAGTTTGATGTCATGCCATGTGATTGGGCTGTACGTATTCAGCTTGCCTTGGGAGTGGGCCATGTGGACAGTGGGATTTCGACTTGCTTTTCAAAAAAGCATGATCAAACTGCTTTTTCCTGCCTGTCTGTGTGTGCATGTACTTTCAAAGTCACTTATCAACTTATGGAGAACACATAAATTCCATTGGGTTTTTGTAGGTGAATGGTTTTGCCAGTTCCTTCCTCTGAAATATAGACTATAGCACCTGGTGTTCATCAGTTGTTTCCTATCCAAGTACTCACCAGGGCTGATCCTGCTTAGATTCCATGATCAGATGGGTGCCCTTCGTTTTTTTATTCTATTTGACCCCTATGCAAATTTATTTATTTATTTATTTATTTCATTTTTATGCCTTCTCCCAAAAAAAAGGGGCACAAGGCAGCTCACAGCATAAAAATATGTAATCTATGCTAGAAGGATCCTGGCATGGAAGGTTGATATTCATTTATTGTAGGCCTCTTGTCTTCCTTGGAGTATCTTGCTCTTCACAAAGGGAATGTAGTTCAGGATTTACAGACAAAATTTTACTATTACTTTAGGAAATCTTTGAGAACAATGAATGCGTTAGCAGATAATTTTTCCTTCCCAGCATTGAAGAATGCTTCCATACATTTCACCTGGATGGTTGAAGTGGTATAGCTGAACCACCTGGGAATAGTAGAAGATAAAAACATTGCAGAGGTAACTACAAAATTAAGATTATAACCTTCCATTTAAGAGTTTTTGCCAAATTTGCCTTTTATATCTGAATGTAAGTAAAATGTATCCAAAATATAGGGGAGCACTTTCATCTATATCACTAGCAGCTGTGCATGTTAAATTAAATATGAAAAACACCCATTAAAACTGTATAGATACTCAAGATTTATTTTTGTAGGGTTGTTTTTTGTTTGTTTTTTGCATTGCTTAATTTTTCCATAGAGGTCCAAGTATCTTTAGATCATAAGTCAGAAATAAATTGTTCACATCAATTTGATTTTTCTCCTTTTCACCTTCATTTTTGTAAACACTTCAAGCTAATAGAGTCTTGCTGCAGTGCATACTGACTTTGATGGAGAGTGCTGGACACAGTTGGGTCTCTCATGGTTAATATGGCAAAAGAGAGAGAAGGGGGAAATGTAATGTGAAAGTGTTTTAATCTACCCCTAATGGAGTTCATGGTGATTTTCTTTCTATTTGCTCTACTTATTTTGTCTCTCTCCTTAATCACCTCCAGGCAGCTAAAATTGAGCCTCCTAATTGTTTCTAGTTTTTAAAAGTTTAGATTCACAGCTTGACACTGAAGTTTATAGTATGGGAGAGTTTTGTTTCACTTTTTAAAATTAAGGAGCATGCAGGATCGAGAATCTTTTAGTATAAGAATGCACAAAATACATTTAAGGCTAATAACTAATCATAGCATACAAGGTAACAAGTAGACTAAAGACCTCTACAGATGGCCCATTTGGGGTGGCTCTGGGCCTCCCCTGCTAGCAGCGGATGGGGGCTGCGGCATCCTCATGCCGCAGCCCTGATCCTCCCTTTTGCCACCCCCAAAAGAGTGGCAAAATGCCACTCCTTTTAGGGGCAGCAAAAGACCTCCCTAAATTTAAAATTAAAATTAAAATAAAATTAAAATTAAATTAAGTTGTTGATTTTTGTCTGGGCTAAGGAGGCTCAGTGCAGTATTAATTATTCCAAATGTGCTTCATTCACTCTGTAAACCTATTCGGAAATCATACATGTGAGTGTGCACCTATTTATTATTTTTAATATTCTGCATGAAATATACAAATGTAACATATAGAAATTAAGGTAACAAGAAATAAAAAAATAATTGAACATAATGAAGTATAGAATAAAAAGAAAAAAAGAGTAAATAAGGATGTATTTTAATAAGTGAATGCAGATATAGGGGCTGTTACGAGAAGTGGCTTCGATTGGATTTTGATATCAAGATTCCTTTGGATCTCTATCAGAAGCCCTAGGCTGGAAAGGGCCTCCATCGCCATGGGCTCGATGCGAGCACATCACGTAGGCACTAAGTTGAATCTGCATTTACAAGCCATTTGCAGATCAAAAGGCCAGGCTTAGGAGCTGCAATACAGGACATTCACACCTGAAAAGATTTATGAGCCAGTCAGGATGTGTCCTTAAGATGAGGAAAAGTAAAAAACCTACATCCCATCTCCCCTCTTCTGGAAATTGTCCACTTCAAAGCATAGCAATCGGAATCCTTTGATGTTCAACAGCAACTCTTCGCTTCTAGGGTTTAAATACTCCCCAAAATCTCAGGGAAAGGGGGGGGGGGGTCTGGATAGATTTCATGATGGTCCTGTACCATCCATGATCTCTAGCTAGAGTCACCGGCTCTACTTTCTGTTCTTTTCGGTTGAGTCTATTCATCGTTGGAGCAACATCTTTGCAGGTAATTATCACCATTAGAAAGTCTTGTGTTCCTATCCAAGCTAACTACTTTACTCCTCAGTTCTTGTGTGTGTGCATGTATGTTAGGGTGTCTTTGTATGCTTGAATCCTCAAATAAAGCTTTGTTTCTACATCAGTCTCATCTCTAGCCACCTCCGTAAACATAGGTTAAAAGATCCCATAGAAGACTTGGACTTTAGTAATTCCCCAGGTTCAGAGTCTTCTCATTACAGGGCCTTTGTTTATTTCCGTACATGGCTAGATATCCAGAATTGCTTATGATTGTATCCTTTGTTTATTCTACTGCATGAACCTCATGCAGTAATGAAAATGAGCAGGGATCATGCAGAGAAAACAATACAAACTGCCATTTTTTCAAGTAGTTTTATGAAGCTTGGGTGATTTAAGGTTGCTTTTTTGCCCTCATTTGTTTCTAAAATGGGAAGATTCAGGAGATGTAGAGATATGTTAGGGGGCTTAAGGTGCTTGAAAAGGGGTTGGGGGCACATATAACATATAGGCCATGCCTTCACCATCCTACTATATTTGGTATGTATCTTCAAACTGATGTTGATTTATGGTTTTCTTGACAAAATTATTCACTATCTCTTCTGAGGCTGAGAGAGTGTGACTTGCTGAAAGTCACAAAGTGAGTGTCCATAGCTAAGGAGAGATTTGAACTCTGGTCTCAGAGTTCTAGTCCAATACTCAAACCACTACTCCACTTTGATTCTCACACTGTTATATATTACAAGTGATTTATTACTCAGCTATCATAGCTGTGTAGCAAGTGATCTGGGGGGGGGCTGCAGACGAGCGGCACAGAGCCACTCCAGGAAGCAGTGGATCGGGGCCACGGCTACCCCACACTGTGACTCCAATCCTCCCTTTTGCTGCCCCAAAAAGAGTGGCAAAATGCCGCTCCATTCAGGGGCAGCAAAAGGGCACCCTAAGAGTGTGAAGTTGTAGGCTTTCATGGCTGGCATCCATAGATTTTTGTGGGTTTTTCGGGCTGTGTGGCCATGTGCGGCTCTTCATCACCCCTTCCAGTGCAGCGCGTCATGATGCTGCACTGGGAGGGCATCCTGACCCCGTGTGCCGTGCATAATGGTGCACGGTGTCAGGATGCCATTGGCATGGGGTTGGGGTGGCCAGCACGTGGCCACCCTGCCTGATCTCTGCCTCTAGGCTGGCCCTTTGGGATGGTTTATAGAGGCCCTTAGTCATTGTTACAGGAAATCATGTTCTTTACAGGTACTAACAATTTAGTATCCATCTTAAATGCTTGGAATTCTCTGCTAGAAAATTTCAGTTCTGAAGCTTGGGGAAATAGAATAGATCTGTCTAGCAGAAGTTTAAAGTATCTCACCAACTATGAAATAAAATTCCCAAAATTCGAAGAGCCACAACAGAAAAAATTGGTATCAAACTGTTATAACTATGTAGTGTGGATATACTCTTAGATACAGCTTGTGGCATCTTACATTGAAGATTTTCTGATTTCAAGGACAAGGGCAAAATTCATACACAAAGCTGTGTACCAGTCAGAATGGTTGCCAGTCTGGTAAATAAAAGTGACCCATAGATATTTAGAGTACATTTTTTCAACAGTATAAAAACAATCACCACACTTTGCACCTATTTTCACCTGCATTCCTATATGTGTCCCAAGAAAACTGCCCTGTCGAATATCCTGCAACCTTCTATTTCCCAGGTTAAGCTGTGAGTATGCTTCCCTCAATACATCTATCACATCACCTATACCCTTTCACTCCCAAATTCCAGTACTTAACCCCACCCCCAAAAAAGCACCCCAAAACCACAACCCTACTACAGTTCCACCTTCCTGTGTCATGGCTAGGTTCACCAAGGGAAAACAACATTCTGTTAAAATTGTCTGTTTTTCTCAGTGTTTAAAATAAGCATTGCAAATGGAAAACACTTATGTGTCAAGTATATTTATTTGTCTGTCAGTGATTTTTCAAAGAGTCCATTTATTTCTGATAGGGTTGTTTTCATTTGTTTGTTTAAACAAACATATACACTCATAAATGCTTGTGACTAAAAGCTGAGCAACCTCTTCTTTTTTTCTTAAAGATTATTTATGGCCCTCAGATTTCTTCCTTAATCCAAACATGGCTGGTATAAAGAAAGGTACAATCATTCTTAAAATTCCACAGCAGGTAGGCAGTTTAGCCAAATGAATGCAGAAACATGTCATGTTTAGAACAATTTAGAGAACTCTTCCTTGTTCTTTTGAAGTCTAAACTGAAGACAGTAGGAAGCTAAATTTGCATGGCTGGCTTGCTATAGGAAAGCTGTCCTGTAAAATATTTGTATTCTTCCAGCACTTTACTGGCTAAAGATTTTCCAGGCATTTATTTGACTGTTGGTTGATTTGTTTGCCTCAAAAGCCCATATATTTATCCAAGTCTTCAGCTCAGTTCTTGTTTCTTTATACTGCACAGGGGATGCATCCACACTGTAGAAATAATCCAGTTTGACATCAGCTCTGATGCCACAACAAACTACAGTTCCCAGAATTCTATAGCATTGTACTATAACAGTTATAGTGGTGCCCATCCATATTATTTCTTCAGTGCGAATGCAGCCTGGGATCTACATATTACAATAAGTGGGGAATTTCCTCATCCCCATACAGTAAATCCTTTCAGTAAACCAAATACTTCCATTTCCCTCTACAGTCTTTCTCAAAATTGCAACAGGAATTGGGGGGGAGGGTAGTACAGGGTAGTACATGCTTATGGAGAATGGGGATATTTTTGCATTTTTTTCTGCATTTGATGGAATTTCTGTCTGATTTTTTTACAAAAATTGTCTAATTCTTATATTTTTTTAAAAAAAATATTTTAAAAATATTTTTTTAAAAACATATTTTGTTTTTAAAAAATGTATTTGAGAATTGGGGAATTGGAGGATTGGTGGGGTACTTCAAGGACCAGAAAAAAAAAGGCTCAGATTGCCTGTGGCCTGTTACGAAACTATTACGATTGTTAATTTTGATTGATTTTGATATCAAAACCTCTTTTGGGTCCTTGTCATAGCCCTATGCTGAAAGACACCTTCATCGCCATGAGCTCTAACATGAGCTTCATGTAGGCACTTCAAACAGAGTTAAACCTGCATTTACAACCATTTGCAGATCAAAAAGGCCAGGCTTAAGAGCTGCAAAAACAGGACATTCACATCTAGAAGATTGATGAGGGCAAGCCAGGATGTGTCTGGTGAAAGGTGAGAAAAAAAATCACATCCAATCTCCCCTCTTTTGGAAATTTTCTACTTCAAAGCATCTGAATCCTTTGATATACAATAGTAACTCTTAGCTGCAGCCTAGTCTTAATGGTATAAATGCTCCCCAAAATCTCAGGAAAGTGGGGGTCTGGATAGATTTCATGATGCCTATGCCATTGTGATCTCTAACTAGAGTCTCCAACTCTATTCACTGTCCTTTCACTGTCATAATGGTTGAGTCTATCTCTTCATTCATCATTGGAGCAGACTCCTTTCAGGTAATTATCACCATTAGAAAACCTTGTGTGTCCTATCCAAGCTGACTACTTTATTCCTGAGTTTTTGTGTGTGTGCATGTATATTTGGGTATTTTTGTATGTTTGATCCTCTGTATATGTGTGCTTGCTTATTGATGTATTTTTCTCTCTTAATAAAAGTACCACTCTTTTGGAGTAATGCTATCTCTGCAGGAACTGTTCCCTCTAGCCCCCTGCATACAATGGGATGGATCCTATTTACTATTTTTGAGCTAATTATAAATTCCCCAAGGTCAAGTTCTTATTACAGGCCTAAATGCCACATTTCATCCACCACAGGATTACAAGGATGGGAAAAGTGTGGCCTTGAAAGCATAGCTGGACTACAGCTCCCATTATTCCACATCATTGGTAGGACTCTTCTGAACTCTAGTTCAACAATATCTAGAGGGGGTGTTGTCTTTTCTCTCTGTATCTTCCCTTGCCTAACTTGTTCCTGGAGCTGCTCCTAGTTTTGTGGGATGGAATATGGAAGGGTTGATGCAGCTATTCATGTTTTCTTCTCTCCTCTCCTTAGAATAGTAGCAACCATGTGGAGCTGTAGCTATGCCATCATGACCATTGGACAAGAGAGAAAGCACTGTGGCCATGCACAATAGTCCTGTTATACTATAGATCCCTTTGCACTATGACTCCCATTGCACTGTGTTTGCTGTTGAATGATTACTCACATTGTGTAACAGGACACCTTGCATGGTATCCCAATTCACATGAAGGGTTATGTATCATATAATAAACACAGCTGCACCATTGTAGAGTTGTGCATCATCACAGATTAAGAATTAATAAGTAAAGCACCCACCCTCATCTTTAGCAGTTAGTCACTCCAAACCCACCCAAGTAGGAGGAGTTGTCTGTTGATGGAAAGACAATTAAAAGTCCAGTCCAGTTTCCTTTGTACAAGAATTCTGCAGCCTGGGATAACCCATAAAGCAGACCTTCTTTTGTGTTTTCATCAAATGTGTTTGCATGTAGTAGGGATAAGAGAAGGGGCTCCTTTGCAGTTCTCAAAATCCAGACACACATTTTTAAAGAATATATTCTTTTAATTAGCCTGGGTGAATGTCGAATGAAGCTTTATAAGTCTTTGTAGTTAGAAATAGAGTGACAGACAATGAACCTGATGTGAGAAGGATATTGAATGCTATCTGTAACCAGTTCTGGTCAATAGAATGGCCACAGCTGAAGTTATCAAGAAGGGTTAAACATTCTGATTTGCTAACATGGGGGGACTGCCACTTCAGCGCCCTTTTCGGTGCAGCGTTTTTGAACACTGTGCTGGAAGGGCGTCCTGATATTGTGCACCGTGCGTAACGGCATGTGGTGTAAGGACAGTGTCAGCATGGGGTTGGGGCAGCTGACGTGCAGCTGCCTCACCCCAACTCTGTCTCCAGGCCAGCCCTTTGGGCCAGTCTGCAGAGGACCATGATTTCCTTAATAAAGCCACATCTTCACACAGTTTGCTCTGTGAGCCTCCACCCAGGATCAGCTTAAATTTATTGATTTTTGTCTCCCAAGAGAGCCCAGAGGAAGACCCCAGGACTGGGAACCAATTCAAACCCGGCTTCTAAAAGTTAGTACAGATGTTTTTATCTCTAGTCATCAATCAATCTCTTATACCTGCTCCAATGTTGTCCAAAATCACCAATTCGACAAATAAATAAAATTGGCGGCGCTCCTAGCAAACAAAGTTCGCACCAGCCTGGTGACGTGGAATGCTCTTCGGTCCCTCCAGCACGATCGCAGCACAGGCAGCAGAATTCTCATCCACCATGCAGCTGACCAGTTAGTTCAGGACCTCCATCGAGCCCCCTCTGAGCCCTCTATACCGGGGGGCTATTTCAGACCCCAAACCAACGTACCTGGGATCTAGTTACCCCGGGATGTAGGAAGGCTCTCCGGAGCTGTGCTGGAGAGCGTCCTATTGAAGCGCCATTGCCAACCGGAAGAACAATAGGCTCATGGATTTGTCTGCTTCCTTGGTTCAATAGAGAATGTTCTGCTGCCTTTTAGTCTAAGAGAATCAAAATTCATACAAGATAAAATTCATTGGGAAGCCAAACAAAAGTCTGAAAATATGTTAAGAATATGCAGTAACAGTTTTTCAGTACAATGAAAGAAAACTAATAAAGAATATGTCATATTTACAATAAGGTAACGGT